ACTAAAGCTAAGACATATATACATGACCTATCTAAAGGATCATGGATGAACCTTTACAGAAGGAAAATGAAAGAGCTTTTCTCTTGTTCAGCCTAGCACTACAAAGGCTTAGCTAAGATTATTGCCTCTAAAAACTTTGTAGGAGTAAATATCAAGACAAGAAAAGTACTCTTTATGGTTCTAAATAAGAAGACAAAAATGCCCCAAATGAGGTATTAGTACATTTTGGCTGGAACTAAGGAGAAATTTTCAAATTGTTGGGGTAGCCAGGGAGGGATAGATGCGCAGGAGGAAGTGTCTGTGAAAAAGCACTTAAAACAATTTTAAATAAAAACTCAGGTTTTTAAATAAAAACAAAGGAAAATACTGCCTACAGAAGATAACAAACAACCCCAGTACTGCTCCTGTATCAGGATGCTTCAGGCAGAGGAAGGGGTTTGGTGGAGAGCAGAGGGGACACATGGCAGGCTCATGTGGCCAGAAGAAAAAAATTGAATTGCCCTAAACTCAGATCTGTGCTGTAACTGCTGATGGGCAGACTGAATGGGCAAGCATGTCCTACTGTGGCTGCTTTGTGGGTTCAGTGAAACTCAGCCAAAAACAGCGGTGAGTTTTGGAATGACCTGAGCTATACTTTTAGCATATTCAATACATATGTCGAAAACAAACCATTTTTTTCTGATCTTCTGGAAACTTTGATTTGAAATGGTACTATTTTCACCAAGTGAAAGCTCTATTTAACACTGATCTTGTGACATTTAGAGTAATTCATTTGGTCAATTAAAACACCTGTATTGAGAGACAAATCTCCACCCCTTCCAAAATCCCTAAGATACTCTTGCATGGGGAAAGACATGGAGCTAAACATGTCTTAAATATATGAATGTAGTTCATTGCTATAACTTGCACGTTTCTTGTTACTTTAGACTCCAACTTTTTTGGTGCATTAGTTCACCCTTGTGTTAGTTTTGTGTCACATGCCTGGGACCAAAATGACCTGTACTTGCAGCAGCAAAGCAAGGAACCAGTGGGAGCACTGCACTGCTGTCAGGCTGCACCTTCAGCAGGGGATTTCTGCAAATACAGTGGGTCTTTCCTGTTCCAATCTCTGACAAACATGCACTGGTGCTCTGTGTCTGAGCACATCCAAGCTCTCTGCTCCACAGCAAAGGCAAGCAGCATAAGGTAGAAAGCTGGATGGAGATGAAAAACTTGCTACAGGTAGCAAATCAATTTGTCTTGTTAGCTTTGTCAAGCTTGAAAACTGATGTGCTTTTCTCATCTTTCCCTCAGTACCTTTATTCTCCCAATTTTGACCACTAAAGATTTCAAGCTTTTGGGGGCAGGGATTATTTCTTATTGGTAGAGGTGTCAAGACATCTCAGCAGAGAGGCAACAAATGAACAAATGAGGCACTTTGTTAGCAGAAAATAGGAAAGAACTTCTAGTCCCATAAAGGTTATGAGGTCAAAATATAGCCTAAATTGCAATATGTTCCTTTATTCTTCAGGTTAGACATTACATCACCCACAGTATTTTGAAGTTTGTTCTGGAACAAATGACTGGGCTGGCACATGTTGTTAGCCTAAAATCCAATTTCTAGGTTAGTTCTTGCTTATTCTAAACAGAATGTATCCAGTCTTACAGCTTCTCTGAAATCCTGTCTCATGCAAAAGAGCAAATTAGAGAGCTGTACGGTCGTGTGTGGGTGTAGTGGAGGAGGTAGAGAAGAGAATGGATTTGTGTTTACTTCATATCCCCAAATGCTCAATTAATTGCTTTCCTTTCTCCCTCCCTCTTTGCCCATGATGACAGCAAAATCAGCTCTTGTCTACTGTTATAAATTGCCCCTCTGCCAAATAAACACATGGTTATAGAATCAGATAGCTTTAATGACAGAAAGTCAACGAAGTCTTAAAAAATAAAACTTCTTCTAAAACACAGAAGAAAAGGGTGTTAGGTTTCCTGGTTTTGATATCAGCATGGATATTCAGCTTTTCACCTGTCAGATACAATGAGGACGGGCCTTCTGCCTGATGTGCTGGAGCAGAGGGAGGGAGGAAGATGCTCTCAGACTCTGAAACCTCTTCCCTGATGGAGGTGCCACTACTCTGTTGGGCTAATGCCTCTCACTAAATTGTTGAGAAATGAAACAAAACAAATTCTCCCATCCCTGAATTATGTTAAAGCTAGAGGTCAGATGCAAACATAAATTGAAATACTCAGTTGGATGTGGCCAGGCGTGTGACACTGCCACAGTGTTTGTAAGCTTCTGATTAATAAGATGGCACAATTATCTCATTTACATATGTGAATCTGGACAAGAGTGCTTTTTAACAAAATCTCTGAGAGCCCTGGTGGTGCCTAAACATTTGGCTCTTCCCTAGAAAGCCACCTGGGTCCATCCGCAGCCACAGCTTGTGCAGACCCACGCTTCCCACCTGCCTGCTAAGAGCCTGTGCTCCTGGGTGCTCCCCGTGCCTGCAGGCAGCCTTCTCCTCCCTTCTCCCAGTGCTGCAAGAAAACTGCATGAACCTTGAAACGCTTTGACCAGGGTTGTACATGATGCCTGCAACAAGGTACTTTTCTGGCACTAGCTGCCAGCTGATAAGAGACGTTCCCTCCCATGCCAGGGTGATTTTCAGAAGTTGTTCAGAACCAATATGTGGAAAAGTTGCAGCTTGTGTGAGTTTTAGGGTGTCTCACTGTTACAGGTGTGAAATACATACATGTTTTTGATTTGGCAGACACTTCATTAAAAACTTTTCATTGTTGTATGTAAGGGAGGAAGTTCTCTTTGCAAGAAACTTATTTTTCCTAACCCTCATCCCATCAGTTTGTTGAATGAACCCCAGAGCTTCTATTTACTTATTTGTACTTGCAGAATACAAAAGCCCTACTTTTACAATGGATGCATTTCCTTCTTTTTCACCCTCATTCTCTCTCCCTGAAAGTCAATGTTCCTCCCAAAAGTAATTTGCTTTGCTGTAAATTTAGAGTGTGTTCGATAGTTATTGAAGTAGAGGATTAATGGATCTGTCTAGAGGCAGGCAAAGACAACCAGCAAACCTCACCCCTCAGCTCTTGAAATACTGTGCAACTCTTGATAGGTTATTTCACTCTTAGGTCTCTCTTTTCAATAAAAAGTATTTGCCAGTTCTCACAGTCATCCTGTCTGTTTCATGACTAAGAAGACCATACACAAGCAGAGGAACCAGCTGTGCATATGCCTGGAAGAAATTTTCCCAACTAACAGACCTACTGAGAAACATTACAGCACTTGAGCAAAATTGCTTTTCCAGAAAAATCCACATTAGCAATGCTTTTTTTTTTTTTTTTTAACATCTGCACAGAACATGTGCAAATGTAAACAGTCCCTCCTGTTTTCTACAAGCTCATGACAGACATCATGCCAGTTGATCAGGTAGTCCTGCACTTGAATTGTAAAAATATAGCTGTAACTAAGGGTTTGGTTTATTTATTTATTTATTTATTTATTTATTTATTTATTTATTATGTTCTGGCACCCCTTCAACCACAAAAAGACTATCCTGTTTTACATCCCATCTCTTTGATAAACAGCCTCTATTATGTATGAGATTTTAGCAAGATGGATGAGTGCCAGTTGGCATAACTTCCTATTGTAATGACAAGCACCTTCTCCACCAGTCAACAGCAGCTGAGCATGTTGATTTACATGCCCTTTGCACTGCAGATGAAGCTGCCTGACAGATTTTTATGGGGGAAGGAAGAGAAAATGACAGATGCTCCAAGCCGCACCCGTTGTTGTCACATAGGGGTGAGTTTTCCGGTGTGTGCATCACTTACAACTGGAGTCAGGGCTTCCCAAAGGAGCTCAGCTGTTACACAGGCTGTTATTTAGAAGAGCTCTGAGCTCATCAGGCATTGAGTACTTGAGAAGTCAAGTTCACATGTGTAACAACTCTTCTTTTTTGGTCCCAATTCACCCACGTATCATTCCAATGTCAATTTAATCTAACCACTGAGTCTGAAGGAATTAAACTAGCATGGGGCCAGAGTGAATATATGCTGTCTCTTTTTGTTAGAGAAACAAGAGTTTGTTTCAGGTGTTACTCTCCTTGTGTTAATACGGTACGTGCTGAATAAAGAGCCATTTCAACTGACACAGCTCAGTGAAAGTGCTGTGGGCAATGCAAATAAACAAGCATGCTATAAAGGGGGAAGCTCAAGGGTCAGTCTCTCAGCTTCCTGAGGCCATGTCTGCATGCTTTGATCATGCTTTTGCTTCCAGTAACTCAGCTGAGACCTGGTGAGGCACCCACACTGCTTAGAAGCTGCTTTCTGGATATACTGTGTTGTGTGAGTATATAAGGGTGAGAGTCTGGGTCCAGCTAAGAGCAATGGATGTGCTCAGGCACTTCCCTCCCTACCTTGGAGTATCAAGAGCCAGAGCACAGAGGATGCCTTGCATGAGATATAGGTAGTAGGCAAGACTGGCATGGAGAAAGGGGTGGGATACTTTTTGCCCACAAGTCAAAACCATTCTGGCTGTCTGGGCAGTATGAATTAGTATTAAAGCTTAGAGATTCATCTTCCTGATGGAGTTTCAGCAGTCAAAAACAGGAATGATGTATGAATGACTCAATCCAGACTCCTCCACTGGCTAGTGGAAAGAAACAAACATTTCCAGGCTGGATTCATTCGTTGATCAGAGGTGAATCATGCCATAGAGTTCCCACTCTCTTCATTGACCGCACTGGGAACCCAGGATGACAATTCCAGTGCAGATATCTATAATGTGAATACCCACCTCTAGTGAGATGAATCTCAGTTACTGTCAGTTCCCAGTACTTAAAGAGGAGAAAGTGGCTTAAAAGAGAAAAATACTCAATGATTTCCAAGATGAGACTTTCCCTCTTTGTATATCTGTGGTAACCTTGTTAAGTCATGTTTAGTGAGATGACCAGGGAGGTATTCCTACAAAGAGTTGCACTGAGACTGTAGTTGAGGAGAACATAGTAAGGAAAGACAAGTAACAGAAATCTATTGAACTTTTCATTATTTATGCTGGGTCAGGTATTTGCCAGCAAGGAGAGGGCTATGAAAGGTATGGAGATTTTCATTATTTAAAACAAACCAAAACAGGGAACGGGAAATAAGAAACAGATGAATTGTGATTAATCACAAATTAGCCAGCTTTGATTCCTGAGTTGAGTTGAACCATTTTCTAAGGCCAAGTGTAGCAGCAAACATTTCCACTGAGCTGATGCTGAACATGGTTTATAGTCTAAACATGAAAAGGAAAAATGTCTTTCAGCATTGTTACTCTTCAGCAGATATATTTTCAAAGACACAATAGTCAGATGCTGATTAACTATGCTTACTGACCAGATGAGCAAGGATTAGATGTTTGTTCACCTGCATCACAATCTGTGCTGCTTTCAGTACAAAAAAGTGTCAGTGCTGCTACTCACACCAGTTAAGGAAGACCATTAGTAGCTGGAGTTTCATTTTGAGCAATTGAAAAGTAGGAAGTTTTTAGTAAAAAATATTGTAACCTGATCCTTTGTTATTCATTAAGAATGCAGTTCTTGGCAAAATAGTCTTATTGTGCACCATCAGAAACCACTCCATTTGCTCTCTAAAAGGTTTTCAGAAAGGCATACAGCATTAGGTAAAGGAGGAAATAATGCACTGCTCTCCCACTGCCTGTGTACTGGTGCTAATCACTGCACTATTACATAAGTAAGTGAACAACCTGGGGATAAAACAGACGGTATGCTGCACTTTAGCTAGAGCCAGAAAGAAAGGCAAATGACAGCTACAAGGGAGGAATTTAACAGTGTCTCCAGGAAGGTGGGATCAATATGGTCAGGCACAAGCACAATGTTGAAACTGTGGTCAAATAAGTGACAGTCTTCAGGTGCTTGTGGGGTGATACAAATAGAAACTGAAGCTCATCAAGGTCATATTTTGAGGCTTTGATAATGCTCTCTTAGAAGAGCACGTATGAACTTTTTGAGGATCTGGATATCAATCTTCATCATGACATGCTGAGGCAGGTTCTTGCTGAAAAAAAAGAAGCATTGTCATCATGCTGTTCATGGGAGTGATGGAAGATTGGAAAAAGGGGAAATTACTGGAGACAATGGTAATAAAATAACATTAATGCCATTAATGCCATCTCAGAAACAGAGAGCTTTATCAGGTATTCCCAAAATAAAATGATGCAAGGTATTGGCCAATATTCATGGAAGTAATTACTAATATTATTGGCATAAATGCTTCTGGGCTCACATAGGATGTTGCAAAGTTTGTAAGTGCTGCAGTCTGCATCTGCACAATCTTTCCTGTGTGAATATTTCTTTGCTGAGAGTTTTTAATGTGGCTGTTTAATACAGCTTTTGACATGTGCAAAACATTATTTACCTATGTGAAGAAGCTGCAATTAATACTAATAGACTTTTTCTTGTTACAAGAACTCTACATCTTCTAATCAGAACTGGTGCTGGGAGGATCAGATCTTTCCCTAAGGAATATAAGGAAACAGTAACTGTGTGGTAGTAGAAGCCAGCATATAAACTGCACACAGCTCCAGTGTACTAAACTTGCAAAGAGGAGTAGAAAGGCAATGTCTGAAGAAAACAGCAATGTTTTTAAGGCTTAGCATATTCCTCTCCTTGATTTTTTTTTTAAGTAGTTAAACACTTGTTTCTTCCAATCTATGTGCCTTGACTGCATGCTAATTTTGTTACAACTTCTTTCCTAACTGCCCTTTTCTCTCTTTCTCTCTCTTTTTTATTTATTTATTTATTTTTTTTCCCCCTGGGTTTCTTATCTTCATTTCTGCTTTGGCCATCTCAGCTGTGGGAACTTCAGTTCCTTTAGCAAGATGAACCAGCTGCTTGGGTTCATTCAGACAACCTCTGCTGGTTCTGGGCACTCTCTCCCACTTTCTGATGATAATCACTTTGAAATCCATGATGGCATCATAGCTCAGTCCCTATTTAGCTTGGAGGCTGGAGATTGACCCTAATCCACTGCTGCCTCATCTACCCTTGCTTTTTGTTTGCTGATTCCACTTATGCAGAACTCCTCCCCATCACCTGATTCTCCTCCAGACCCACTGTTTCAATTATCTGTTTCTGCAAGAGCATGATACATCAGTCTCAGTTAACTTTGATTCTTGAACTGCAGCTTTTTTTATTAAAGGCTTTGTGGCTCAGTTTCTACAGTTTGGAAAAGAGCAATGTTTTGATCTTGAGATTTTCTGTATTAATGCTATAAAATAAAATACTTAGGGGAAAGATATAGAGAGTTGGAGGCAACTGAACTGCTCCCTTAAAACTGCTCACCTTTTCTGCCCTGTGTGGAAGGTAGGTGTTCCTTTCTAGTTGTGCTGACAACTTCTGATAAATATTTTACACGTTTTTACTCCCAAATCCAGGAACAGAACACAAAAATTTCTTATCTGTGAAAGTGACCAGGAAGTTTAATTCTACTCCATGACTGCAACGTCTATAATAAGATCAGGGAAGACATAAGATTTTACAGGAAATGCAGGATAAATCAATCTGGTGTACATGTTAGTGTCCACTGTAATGTGTGGGGTACTTTACAGCCCTAAGTAGGTTGCTGTAAACAATAACAAAACTCACATCGACTACCACATAGATAGCATTGTACCCACTGTTTCACACCTGAACTTTGTGGTTGACTTTACTCCTTCTAATTTTCTTTTTAATTATTATTATTGATTGATTGGAAACTTGGTAAGGAAGAGGCATTGCAATGGCCAGAAGAAACTGCTGCTATTATTTTTATCTAACTCTTCTTTAATGTATTGGAATGAACAAGACAGTTTTTTTAGATCTGCAGCTTAAAGGAAAGATGTATAAAATATGACTTCTTCATAAAATACTATCACTTCTGCTGTGTCAAATACGTGCCAAAAAGATAAGTACAATGAGAGGTATAGAGATTTGAAACTGGCATCAGAAATCCTGAAGAGGCAGTAGAAGATGAAAGAGGAGGGCAAGAGTTTGCCTGGAAGAAATGCATGGTGAAGTGAAGAGAGCAGCATGGAGGCTGAAGTAGAAAAGTATCTATAAGAGGTTTCGAAAGGTTTCATTTCATTTATTTATATATTTTCTTTTCTGATTGACTTGATATGGACTTTGTTCTGAAGGGACAAGTGGTTAGATATTGACTTATGGGACAGACACACTGAACTTCGCTAGAAGTAAGCACTAAACCAAAACCTGCCTCATGATTATCCCTGTTCGGGGGCAGCTCCTCAGGCCCCTAGTCAGAGAGATCTGATACTGTGCTTCCCAAGAAGAGGAAATAATTATCTTTTTTTTTTTTTTTTTTTTTTTTTTTTCATTCTGCCCGGTGTCTGATTAGCTAGCTGCACCACAAAAGACACCATGCGATCTGTTTCTTTGAGGACATGCTACCTCCCTTTAACTCCCTTTTCCCCTTCCAGATTTGGATCTCAGATGATTTTCTGGAAGGCTGACTTTCTGAAGCCAGCTGATTTTGCTTTGTTTTTTCCTTTCTTAAGAAATGTGAATTCTGTCATGCCACCCTATCCTCAGTTGTTCTTTGCCTCCCCATTCTAGTCCCAATGTTAGTGCTTCTTGCAGTGTTTTCTTTTCCACTCTTTTCTCAGCTTTCTGCATCCAAAAATTGTTAAACCTGTAACCAACAGAGAGCAGCTGGGTTGTCTGTGACTCACTGTATTCTTTTTCTGGACGCGGGATTCACCAAAGTTTTATTATGGAGCTGTAGCCTCTTTCTGGAAGACAAAGCTGAGAATCTCCATCTCTGTTTGCACTGATGGTATGTTAAAACACAGCTTTGCTCTACTGCATATTATTGCCTCCTTCTTTGTTCCTAACTGCATTTCAGACAGCAGAACTAGCCAGCTTTTCATAACTTTATTAAACTTCAAACCAAATTATCATCTTTGCTCATTTTCCATTTTACCGTCATAGCTTATGAATAATGAAAGAGCTTCATTGCTACTGATTTCTTTGATATTATTCAGAAAGCGCTGCAATATGATCCTCCTGATGGCATGTAAAACATTGCTTTTGGGCTACCATCACCCCCCTGAACCAGCCAATTAAATACATTGTGCCAGTTAACATGATTGTGGTGGTGACTCTTTCAGTACAAGAAATCTACTGTTTAGTAACTCATTCATTCAGGGGCCTGCCAGCACAGAGAACCTGTCCAGAAACCCACTGGATGTAAGAAATTACTGGCACAGCAAAGCCCACAGACAGCTTGTAAGGAGAGCAGGTCAGTGTTCCTAGAATTGTTTAAAGGACTACAGATAACATATGTATGTATGTATGACATTTTATGTTGGCTCACCATCTCAAAGTTCAAGACTAGCCAAGGTGCAAGAGCTGGCCAGGAGTTCTGACAAATGTGAGAGAGAAAAGGGGCTTCCTTTCCTCATGAAACTAGAAGAGGTTATATTTGCCAGGCACAGCTGAAGACTAGCAGGTTCCATAAAGAGTCAAACTAACCAAGATTAAGGACTTCAGAAAAGCTTAATGCTTTCCACATTAATGTCTGATGCATCTCGGAGGGTGTGTAAGCACTGGGAATAGGTGAACACTCAGTATCCTGAAGGTGTTCAGGGGAGGAAGGGCACGATTTTCACAATGCTTTGACATGTCAGTCTTGTTTTCCATGAGTCTTTTTGGGAAGGTTGAAAAATAGAAACTCAAATATTTAGACCACTAACATGTGCTTTGGAAATGGGGAGTAGAGGCATGTACAGAAATTGATTAAATTTTACCTGTATATCTCATTAACTAGAGCATTTTGTTAGATTAGAATTTATTGTTGAGGTTGAACTATGTTTCTGTAGTTCTGTTCTTAGTGATGTATTCTTGCAAGACTGCAGTCTTGGGCTGAAAACCATCAAATATTTATCAAGAAATTATCACTCAAGCACTCTAGCTGCAGTGTGCTGCATATGATATTGGTGGACAGTAAGATTTTGAGTGAATCAGTCAATAGCAAATACAAAAGCTGCTTTCCAGTTTGGTCCATTTAACCTCCCCTGGAGGAAACTTAGGTTGCTGGTAAAGAATTAAGCTAAACGCAGTATTCTGCAAGATCTACCCCTCTGCTTTTACTATCCTTGGAAAAGAAGGGAAAGGTAAACATTTTATATTGAAAATCTAACAGGTTGTTGTGAAATTTTATACCTCTTAACTCTAACCACTTCTAAGCTGTCATTGCTATTTTCAAGCTCTTTTTTCCCCCCTCAAAGTTGTTAAATGATTGTATGAGGATTACACTGGGGAAAAAGATGGATTACAATTATTCTGTCTTGAGGGCTCCAATGGGATTTTGAGGGAATTTATTCAACAAAAAATACACAGAGCAAATTTGCAGGGCCAGTGGAGAGGAATAATAGTCTTGTACTCTGCCTGTCTGTATCATCATTATTCTTAATGGTCTGCACATGCATTTCTAAGATACGCTGTACCTAAAAGTGGATGAGTAGCTGCTCTGAGGGACTCAATGCATTTGTAGTCAATGCTGCTCTTTTGCTTGATACAGAATGCAAACTCGAAGGAAGCTCATGCCATAGGTCTGTCATTTTTTCTCAAACAGTCTCAGGTGCTGTAGGTATGCCCTTCAGTGTTCTCCTTTCTTTTTCTTTGTTGATCTGTTAAGGGCTTCCATGAAATGTTGAAACCCAGTCTGACTTCTATTGCAACTGAAGAGAACTGCTGTGTGAGTTGCTTTCTTTCTGCCTGTGACTGTCAAAAGAAGTTTTTTTTTTTTGTTTGCTTGTTTTTTCTCCTGTAAGTTGTTTATGGTGCTCATCTGCCATTTTCACCGTAACTTTGGAGTTGGTTGCCCCCCACCTTATAAGTGTCATCACTTACTTCATAGCATTTTGCACAATAAATTAAGATGTCTATGTCGATTGTGTTGAGTTACATATAGTCAAATGCGCACAATTCTTTACTGTGCACACAGTATTCTCACTGTGTTCTTTAATTTAGAAGGCTGCTCTATATTCCCACTTTTGTAATAACGAATGTCTTTACTTCTAATAGCTAGCAAAGGAAGAAGCAAAAGTTTCAAATCAGGAATGAGAACACTCTCAGCTTAGATTTTAAGGTGTATTCATATGGTCAGGAATCTTTTGCTATCCAAATACCATTAAAAAAAAAAAAATATATATATATATTGCTGCTTAATCCATACATCTCTCCTCTTAAATTTTGAAAATTTACATACAAAGAGGCTTGACCTTCATTGAGAGATTTTACACAGGAAGACTAAGCATGCTCCGGTAAGTAAACACTAAAGATAGGTGGTAAAAATAACTGAATTTGGACTGAGTTAAAGGTAACATAAATTATGTTATTATTCAAGAATAACATTTTTTAAAAATACAGATAGTTAAAATGAGTCTTCTAGAGACATAAAAGCACTGAAGAGTAAATTTGCAATTTTAGGCTCAAAATGCATATTTGTAAATTTTGTTGCAGTTATTTATGGGGCTAAACATACATTTGAAAACTTAATTTTTGGAAGTAATTTAAAAAGAAGTTAAGAAGATGTGACAACTTCTAGTAAGGATAATTTGCATTTCTATGTCTCCAAGCAACACATCCTTTGGTCATTTTGAAGAAGGGAAAATCTAAAATGACACAGTAGATGCCATTCAAAAGTCTAGTGAACACTGAGGCTTCAGATCTCATCCAAAACATTGTCATTTACTCTTACAGACTCCGTGCTGAAATTCCCACATTCAATAAACCCCCTTTTTCTTTTCTTTTTTTTTTTTTTTTTAATAAAATCATCATCAGTAACAAAAAAAAAACCCAACAACACACACACAAAAAACATCAACAACAAAAAAGCCCACACCTTTTTTTCCACCGTCTAATTCCATCTGCTTCTGCTGGGCCAATTAATTCAAAGATATTAACTCTCCAAATTGTTTCTCCCCACTCCCCAGTGGTCATGTGTCAGAGTGCACTGTGGAGTTTGGTATTAGCAATTTTAGGATGTTGCTGGTTACAGAATTAAAATGATAGGAAATGTTAGGAGCACACACCAAGGCAAGACATGGAGGGGAAAAAAAAAAGAAGAATTAAAAGATGAAGGGAAAATATTTCTTTGTCTATCACATTTGTTACTTACCAAGAAGCAGCCTGTTCGGTGACATGAAAATTACCCCCTAGGCCAGAAGTAGAAGATCTATAGCAGGAAATATATATGACATGGAGTTGTTGCTGTGATTTGCAGGTAAAAAAGTGGTGGAAGGAAAGGCAAATGAAGCATATAAGGGAGCTTTTCATAAGAAACTCAACTTCCTACATCTGTCAATGAATGATTTTACTCACCTGTTGTCTCTGATCCAACTACTATTGTGTCCTCATTTGGGTCTCGCTTTCTACCTATAAATACAGCCATTTTGGATATTCTGTCTCTTGTAAGTAAAGAGAACCTGCTTGTCTCTCCTGCAAGAGATATTGTCCACAACAGGGTTGTGGAAACAACCTGGAGGGGAAGCTGTTCACACCTGGGAACTGGAGGAAGGCCACTCTGAGCTGGTATGACTCAGAAACATCCCGCCCCCATGTGAGTTCACAAGTGGATGCAGTGAGGATCAGGACTACAGTGTCTCTGCCTTCAAAACATACCTCCATATTAGTGCATCTTCAGACAGCATAATTAATGCCATTAACTTCAAAGAAACGACTGACTGCTCTTCCTGGTGCTCTGGCTGCCTAGATGAAAGAGGTAATGCTGCGTCTGTTTCCTTCTGCACTGTGTGTACATTTCCCACTAACAAAGAACGTTAAAGCTTTATTTCCAATCAATTCCAGGTTATATCAATCACAACTAACAATACCCTGTGCCCCTATAATTAATTCAGACACATGGACTTAATTGTTTATCTTGGCAGGTTTGGTTCATTGCACAGTAACTTACAGACTGAATTTCAGAAAGCTTAAGCCTTACACTGAAGTCAGCAAGCATTGCAGTTGCTCACCACTTGCAGTGTCAGGCCATTAATGACGCCTGGATGACAAGCGCCTTCACATCATCACCACTGCCAAGAGCACTTCCTCTGTCATCCAATCCACCTTCACAAATCATTCATGATAACTGTTATGAAGACAAGGACACTGAATGAATTAGTAATCAGACACAGATTTAAAAAGCACAATCACATTTTCAACAATAAAATAACAAATCAGTGTTATACTTTTCTGGTCACTGCATAAATGTTTACCACTCTTATTTACAGCCTTTCTTTCCCTCTGTATAGCATGAGCCCATTACATCTGTAGCAGTAATAAATAAAATGAAGTTCCAGTGTAAGAGAAGGTCTCAGCATGAGTCCTCTTTAGCTGGTCTATGAAATTTCATAGATCTTTATTATGCCTGAACCTTACAAAACATTTCAGCAAATCACATTTAAATTCAGAAGACAAATGGTAGTGACACGTAGCCTAACACTTGCCAGATTGCAAGCATTTACAAGGAAAAAATGTCAAGAAAACTTAAGACGCTGTCTGAAGTCAGCCCATGCAATGCATCATACCTTTTCATTAGACTTATTTTTTCATGACTAACTTAGATTAGTTAAAATATATAAAAATGAAGCGTGGACATCTAGTCTTTGTTTCAAGCAGAAGGCTGTGCCATCACACCTTTTTCTGTGTGGAGGTGGTAAAACACTTACATATGATGTTCACTCTTACTCACAAGAGAGCTTCACTTTAAAGAGTATATATGTGCTTTATAGGTAGTTTGGTACCTAGGTGGCTCAGCATCAGCAGCAGTCCAAGTGCACTCTCCTGGTGTTGGTATTGCACTGAAGCTGAAACATACTTTTTTTCAGATGCTTCAGAGCATCTGAAAACATGCTTTCAATGCCACCTTCCAGCACTGTTCTCATTTTAATTTCTGTTACCAGTTGGTAAGTACCAATTTAATGGTACTAAGGAGCACTTGAATATTGGTCTTTCTCAGTTCATTATGCAGGATGACCAATTTTATTCATCCTTTTTGCCACGGGATTTTCCATACAGATTGTATTGGTTTGATTCTCTTCTGAAAGATCAACACATCTATCAGACACCCTGGTTTTCCATGTGCAGGCCTCTCTTGGAGAGGAATGCCCATCTCTCTTACAACTCAATGGACTTTCCTCAATGTGGGAATTTACTGAATAACCCAATGTGTTATGTTTCCCTAGTCTGTAGTGAACTCACATGGAGGCGGGATGTTTCTGAGTCATACCAGCTCAGAGTGGCCTTCCTCCGCCTCACTAACTTCTGTCTGTGATCTACCAGAAGTGACTGTGTATCTACTTGCAGATCACTGATGAGATTACTGAGTAATGGGGAAGATCTACAAGGAAGATAAATCCTTCTTCAGTGATTTCCCTGTTGGAAGAAACTTGAAATCTGTCGATGAGATAATGATTTTTCTCTTCAACCTGTGCTTTTTTCCTTCCTATAATTCTATGCTTTTAATCAATGTCATGAGTTACTAAATCAAATACCTTTACACTCTGTAAGTCTATTATGTCAGTGCACTTACATTTAATCATTAAATGTCATCTTATTGAAGAATGAAATCATATTTGCTTGACAAGATTTTTGTTATCCAGAAAATTGTGCTGAGAAACATGAACTATATTTCTATAATTTAATTATTATTATTATTTTTAAATAAAATCCTTACATTAGCTTTTATGGTATTTTACCTGCAAATTATGTCAGTCTGGGCCATGAAAAAATGCTCCATGGATGGTCCCACCCATCATTAGGCAGTTTGTTCTGCACAAGTGCTGTCCTTTTTGGTCCCAATCCCATTTATAAGGACTTAGGAATTTTGAAATATTGATTAGCAATAATGTAAAAAATACTTCACCAAAAGTAGGCAAGATAGGTGGAAGAATAAATTTATCTTTTTTTTTTTTTTTTTTTCTTCTTCAGATGAAGTACAGGCAATGGAATTGATAAAATTCTGGATTGATTCTATTAGAAAATTGCAAAGAAAATTCCATAATGGAATAATTAATGAATAATATTTATTTCTATATATTTATATTTATTTTGACTCATTTATTTAGAAGTACTATTATAGCAGAATTTCTGGGAAGAGGTCCTACTTTCAGTCAAATATATATGTTACACAGTTCACACCCGTTCAAGAACTCTGTTGGCCTGCTTTTTTTCAAAGCAAGGGCTCTGGGCATTCCTGGACCTATTGGCTCTTCCACCTTTAAGTAAAAATTTCTTTTGATAAGACATCTATACAATCAAAGAATATCCCGAGTTGGAAAACTCCTGGCTTGACACAGCACCACCCAAAAATCAGACCATGTGTCTGAGAGCATTACCCAAATACTCCTTGAACTCTTGCAGGCTTGATGCTGTGACCACTGCACTGGGGAGCCTGTCCCAGTGCCCAACCACCTTTTCCCTAACACCCAGCCTGACTCTCACCTGTCCCAGCTCCATGCTGCTCCCACAGGTCCTGTCACTGTCCCCAGAGAGGCACAGAGCTCAGCACCTGCCCCTCCACTCTCCTTGTGAGGAAACTGTAGGCTGCCATGAGGCATCTTGTCCATCCACCATGAACAGTGGGTGTTTTCATCACTTACACTACACCTGGCCAATTGGCCTAGCATATGCTCTCCATAACAATCATTTTCCTTCCCTCTACTTCTTAAAGGAAGAGCCTTCTCATTTTTGTAGGTCAGTGGTAGTGTCTCTCCCTGTGAAAAAAAATATGGAGAACATATCATCAGTGAGCTTAACCTGAGCTCTGAGAAATAATTCAGATCAAATAATGAACTATTTAGAATGCACCTGTGAGATAAAGAAATAGTTGAGAAGCAGACTGTAGGATTTCATAAAGAACAAATTGTATAAAAATAATCTAATTTTCCTCTGTGGTAAAAAAGGAGATGTGGAACTAATCCATAGAACTTCATACTAGGAACTCTTTTGATCTGATCTTACATGATATTCTTATAAACCAGCAGAAGAAATACAGTCTGGATGAAATTACTGGACAGTGTATACACAACAAGGTCTGTATCTATATTAAGAATCATTGTCAAAATATAAAAAGGTAGTAAGGGATCTTACAGAGTTCCTTCTGCTCTGATTCGGCTCAGTGTTTGCATCAGTGAAGCTGCTCATAATTTATTGTCTGGATGACTGCACTCAAAGAATTGCTCAATGTCCAAGTGGAGGTCAGTGATGAGTTATGTTTCTCAGGAGCTGGGATTGCAACTGGTGCTGTTTAACATCTTTGTTGGTGATATGGACAGTGGGAGTGTACCCTCAGCAAGTTTGCAGACAATACCAAGCTGTGTGGTGGGGCTGATATGCTGAAGGGAAGGAATGTCATCCAGAGGGACCTGGACAGGCTTGAGCAGTGGGATTGTGAGAACCTCATGAAGTTCAACAAGACCAAGTGCAAGGTTCTGCACCTGAGTCAGGGAAATCCTGAGTACAAATACAGGCTCAGTGGAAAACAGATTGAGAGCAGATCTAAGGAGAAGGACTTGGGAGTGTTGGTTGCTGAGAAACTCAACGTGAACTGGCAATGTGTGCTTGTGATGTGCATCAAAAGAAGCATGACCAACAAGTCAAGGGAGGTGATTCTCCCAAGCTCTACTCCTGTGAGGCCCCAACTGGCGTACTGCATTCATCTCTGGGGCTCCCAATATATGAAGGACATGGACCTATTACAGCAAGTCCATGAACCTATTAAAGCAAGTCCAGAGGAGAGCCATGAGGATGCCTGAAGGACTGGAACACCTTTCCTACAAAGACAGAATGAGGGAGTTGTTTCTTTCAGATTGGAAAAAAGAAGGCTCCAGGGAAACCTTATACCAGTTTTCCAGTACCTAAAGGGGGCCTACAAGAAAGCTGGAGAGGGACACTTTGTCTGGGACTGTAGGGATAGGACAAGGAGTAATGGCTTTTAACTAAAAAGGGGATATTTAGATTAGATATTCAAAAGAAATTCTTTACTAAGAAGGTGGCGAGGCACTGGGACAGGTTACCCAGAGAAGCTGTGAATGAGCCATCCCTGGAAGTGTTAAAGACCAGGTTGAATGGGGCTTTGAACAACCTGGTGTAGTGGGAGGTGTCCCTGCCCATGGCAGGAGGTTTGGAACTAGGTGGTCTTTATGGTCCCTTCCAACCCAAACCATTCTGTGATTTTATGATTTAGAGATGAGCCAGGGCAGGGTTGAGAAACAGGTTTAGGTTTCAAAGTTGTCTTGACAAATTAGAGAAAAGGCGTGAAAAAATATCAGCGAGGACAACTGCAAGGGATTGACTGAAGAAAAGATTTTTCAGTTGTATAGGTACTAGCTAGTTGGGTTGCTCTTCAGAAAATGATCTGTGGGATTGCACTTTATTGCCAGCAGAACATAACGTGTACTGTTGGAGTTGGCAAAACGCCTAATGTATCAGTAAGTCCTCAGAAAGAATACCTTGTCCAGCTTTGGGCACTGTGGGTCAAGGAAAA